TCCTGCTTCCTGGGAGGAGTCTCAGATGAGTGCCCACCATGGTAGGCGTGGGCATCGGGACTGGCCCTGAGAGCTGGGGATCGGGGTCTAGCACCTCTGAGCACAGCTTCACTCTCAAGCCAGTGTATCCCACTGCACCCTATCTGCAGAGCTGAGTCCAGCTCGTCAGCAAGCTCCCGAGATGACCAGGGGGCGGTCCTATGTGTCAGCCAGTCTTCTGTTACTCAGGTTATGTGGAAGAAAAGTTTAGCTTGTGGTCCCAGTCCATCGTGACTTGGCTTTTGGGTCTGTGGGGAGACAGCACCTCATGGGAGAGTACTCACCTCTCGGTGGATGGGAGGCAAAGAGAGAGGACAAAGAGGGCCAGGCTTCCCAAGTCCCCTTCATGGGCACACCCCTCAATTACCAGACTTCATCCCACTAGGCCCCACCTCCTGACTCCCAAGAATGCCCAGGGATAGGGTCCAGTCTTGAACCAAGAGCCTTTGCGAGACACTTACCAAACCACAGTACCCTGAGAACTGGACTGGGCAGACGTGCAGCCGTGGAGCAGCCTCCCTCTTGCGCTCTGTACCCTTCCCCCGTCTCTTCCACACTCAGGAACAGCTGTGCAGTACCCTCAGGTAATAGCCCACGCCTCCCAGAAGACAGCTGGCCTATCTAGAAGCTCAGAGGCTTCTATACTATACTATAACTAAAACACCACGAGCTAGACCACTTCCAGTCGGCAGGGCTGTTCAGCTCACAGACCTGAAAGCCCGGTAATGGGAGGTCACGTGGCCCTCCTGGTAAGGCCTTTCCTGCTACAGAGGACTCCCCCAAGTTCTCAACACAGTCTGAGGATCCTAGGGTGACAGCCAGGTCCTGGCCTGAGCCCGTTAGAGCCACCGTCCCACTGGGTTACGCTTTGCCCTGCTGTTCCCTGTACCCAGAACCGCCACCCCACAGGCCCTGCCTACAAACACCACGGCAGAACCAAGTCCCCTGCCCTCCTAAGAGCTCAAAGTGCATGTTCAGGTGAGAACATTCAAACCATCTTGTGTAGCACATATATGATCTAAGTTCAGGGATGGCCACACGACGACTCCAGGGTAACGGGCTCATCTGTGCGTATGGCAGAATTAGCAGCAGGAGCCATGGGGACATCTCTGGGGGGTGGAAATGTCTTATGGGTCGATCTGGGAGACACACCTGGGCAGACAGGTAAGCTGTCACATGGGCCCAGTGCCTTCTATCACGTGTCAGTCATCTCAACAGTGCCCTGAAAAGGCTCCTGAGGTGGACAGTGCCTTGGGAACAGTCCTGCCTCTCAACCTTGTGATTCCTTTCTTAACAGTCAGAAGAGGACATCGATGTCTTGGCCTTTGGCAAACAGCAGCCCGAGAATGTCGTAAACCCTGTGTATGAGAGCTCATCAGCAGCACCCCCTGAGTCCTCCTGTGACCCCTTCCCAGTGAGTCTGAGCTTTCCTCCAGGGAAGCTAAGGAAGGGTTCAGCGGGGGTGCAGGATGCTGGGGTGTAGAGTGCTGGGCGCAGGATTCTGGAGTGCAGAATTCTGGGGTGCAGGATACCGGGGTGCAGGATGCTGGGGTGCAGGATGCAGGATGCCAGGGTGCAGAATGCCGGGGTGCAGGATACTGGGGTGTAGGGTGTTGGGGTGTAGAGTGCTGGGGTGCAGGATGCTGGGGTACAGAATTCTGGAGTGCAGAATGCTGGGGTGCAGGATGATGGGGTACAGAATTCTGGGGTGCAGGATGCTGCACCTCAGGAAGAGCCACCCGTCTAGGACGCATCTCAGACAGCAAGCCTGGGGCCAGTTTTCTGTTCAGAGGGCCCTGCTTTTTTGTAGCTGGCAGAAGCCTCAAACTGGTGACTGCCTAGCCTGCCTCAGGTCTGGTGGGATGCCACTGTGGAAGGGAAGCAGGCCTGTAGGAGAGGCTTCCCTTAGCTATGCTCAGTTCTGCCTTGGGCAGAGCAGATTCTTGCTTAGGGAGGCCTCTAACAACGGTGGTGTTCTGGTCTAGTCTTCCAGGAGGGGACTAAGTTAGTGAGGCTTGAGCATGGATGGGGCTACTCTGACTCCACCCAGGGCTCCCCGTTCACATCAGTTCTGGGCTAGGAAGCGAGGGGAAGACATTTTAAGAATTTAAGCAGTGTGCTGAGCATCCTTGCCTGATCGGCAATGCCACACAAGCTGACCGTGTTCTTTGGGTCAAGGCAACAGTTGAATCTGGGCTTCTCTGGGTTAACAGCCCTGTATAGTATTAATCAAAGCCAGATGGCCGCTGTCAGTTCAGTGCTTAGAACATACATTCCTCCCACAAATCACAGTATAGTTTATCTTTAAAAAAATAACTCTGGAAGCCCATTAAATCAAACATATATAGTATTTATCTATTTTCTTATTGAGACAGGGTCTCGCTGTGCAGCCTTGGCTAGCCTGGAACTCACTATGTAGGTTCACCTCCTTCTGCTCCCAAGGGCTGGGATCAGAGGCTGTGCCACCACACCCAGCTGTGTAGTTGAGTTTTTATAGGTCATCGCTGAACACTACAAGGTTTTCTTGCGAAACCACTTTAAGATTATTTACTGTGATAGGTGTAAACCGTGAGTCAGTATTCTGTGGCTGGTGATGTGTGCGGTAGCAGGTTGGATTATCTTTGCAATGGGTTGAAAAATAACCACATGGCAAATCTTGTTTTATTTTTTAACCACGTAAAGACTGTGTTCAGATTTCAGCAGTGGGCTCTGTTGGAGTATGGATCATGTTTATTGACTAGTACGGGTTTGTTCCTGTTGGCACCGTCATTTCAAAAGCTTGTGGCAGGTGGGGTGTTAAGCTGCTCCGTGCACGCGCGCACGCCATACCTCCCCGTCTGTTGCCTTCTCCTAGGGCACTGTCTGTCAGCTTTCTGCATGATAGAGTCACCTGGAGCAAAGGGACCGCATTCTAGAAGCAGGATTCAGCTAGATTCAGTCAGAACGAGTGGCCAGAAAGTTCCAGTAAAGGACCCCTGAGCCCAGGACACCAACAGGCTACATTCTCTGACTTTAATATTGAAGAGGGGGCACCTGTCCCATCTCTCTACATCCCAAACACCCTTGAGAAACCTTTGCTAACATGGTGTGCTGCTTGTCAAAACCTCTGTGGCGCTCAGAGCTGATGACAGTAGGCGGCTTAGCAGGGCTCCCTGGCAGGGGGCGGGGCGTTCATGCCGTCACCTGTGTGTGAAACTTTTATCATTTTAATCACTACTGGCTAACCCTCGCCCCTTGCTAGTGAAGCAGATACCCCTACGGTGCTGTTAGAGAGGAGGAACCAACATTGCGGAGGACCTCACAGGCAGCTCAAGCAGCAGAGCATGTGCGGTCCCAGCATAAGCCGCTCTGACCAGCACCCCCATCTATACCCCGCATTGAGGCATCAGTGTACCAAAAGCCTCATGTAATGCGTACACCTAACACACGGCATGCTTTCGGCCCCAGGGCCGAGCAGTGTTTCCCAGGGGACAGCTGCAGGAGCAACAGCCCCACCCCGGTGTCACAGCCCTCAACAGTGACACCCTGTCTTCCAGGACCCTGAAGAACAGGAAGTGGAGAGCAGCGACCCCCTGGGGGCACTGAGGCCCTGATGTGAGCAGTCATCCAGCAGCCAGTGCCACGTGAACCCCTGAGCCAGCACGGCTCCACTGTGGGGTTCTCAACACCAGCTGTCTCCTGTTTTACACTATGATAGAGTCAGAAACCATACCTCACCTCTCTGGTTAATAGAGGGCTGTTTCCATGGGCAAGGTGCCACGTTCCCAGGCCCATCCAGAGGGACCTCTACCTCTTCTGAGGCTGTTGTTCTTGGGCATTTCAGATGGCCTTGCTCTGTTCTGCCTTATCTTTCGGGTAACTGTGATCCTGTGGTATTTTCCTGTTACTGTAAGTGCCTATGGCAGGGCTTCACCTTGTGAACTTTGTATCCCAGTACCCAGAAGTACCTGCCACAAGGATGTGCTCAATAAATATTATAGAACAAACTAAAAAGTCACTGAGTGCCTAGGAGGGGTCAAGCTATGAATGCAAACTACTTATTAAGACTAATTAGAGCCCTTTCAATTAGCCAACATCTGTCTCATGGATTCTTTAGTTTTGTTTCCTTGCATTTACCTTAAGATCTTATAAACTCTCTCAACTCCAGGAAACTGGAGCTGCCCCAGTCCTCTGCAGAGGATAATTTATCACTACCTCTGGGACAACACGTCATGAAGGAGCCATGCCACATTTCCAGGAATCGCCCCAAAACAAGTGTAGGGCAGATTAACTAGTGGCTCCGTGACATCCATCATCACACTGGGGGACACGGGCACAGATGCGGGTCCACTCGGCACCCTGAGGGTTAAATGCCAGTACAGATGCTAAATCTATACACATACACATGTAAGACGTGAAATTAAGGCATTTGAAATATTTATAAACTCATCCAAGTTTTTTGTTTTTACATAGGGTTTCTCTGTATAGCCCTGGCTGTCCTGGAACTAGCTTTTGTAGACCAGGCTGGCCTTCAACTCAGAGATCCGCCTGCCTCTGCCTCCTGAGTGCTGGGATTAAAGGCGTGTGCCACCACCAGCTGGCACAAATTTTCTTAATATTCCTCAGCACGTCTCAGCTTCCCAGGTAAACAAACACAAGCAAGCTGGTGAACCGCCATTTCTTGTTCTCCGATATGTTGCACCCCAACCACCCCCACATCTGCATCCCCCACCCCTGCTGCGTGCCCGAGACAGAGCTCACACAAGTTTCTGTCTGAAATCTCCAGTTTCAAACCCCAGAAATAAATCTACATTTCACCCTTTATCAATACCCTTTTGTGGGTCCGCTAGATTGCTTCTTTTGGGGTACTGGGCATCACACTCAGGGCCTCAAGCATGCTGGGTAAGCATTCTACCAGGGAGCTGTAGTCCCAACCCTAGCATGACTTTTTGATCTTTGGCTTCCTTTAGTAGAATAACCTCAACTCCTGGGGCAAACCATGTTTTGCAGCTGACTTAAGTGCACAGCTGGCGGTGTACCAACAAACCAGGAGACACAACTCAAGCTTTTATTTGGCTGTGAGTTCATTATCACAACATATACAATCAACATGTAGAATAAATAGCAAACTCACATTCCAAATAAATAGTAAACCTATGTCGCGTTTATCGTGCCTGATAGCACACGGGCACAATCTATCATTCCTCTACACAAGAACTACATTGGAGCCCAAGCTCGTAACAGGAGACACAGGAGCGCTGTGGGAGGAGAAAGGAGACATGCTTCATGCAGGAAGCTGTTGCGTGGGGGTCTGCCTGGAGTAGCATCTGAGAAGGGAAGGCGCAGGCCAGTGGGTAGGGTGGGCGTTCTTCTCTTCTCTTGTTCCCCTGTGTTAGCCGCTGGGGGTTTGGGCAGCTGGCATCTAAGGCCAGCACTGCTCAGCACTGTCAGGATCTCAAAAGGACGCCCCTGGGGCATCCCGAGCAGCGCGCATCCTTTTGAGATCCTGACAGTGCTGGGTGTCACCTGCTGGCATTAGATGCCAGCTGCCAAAACCCCCCCGGCGGCTAACGCCGGGGAACACGTAAACAGAAAAATGCCTATACTAGCTTTAAAAAGATCAGAATGCTCAACCCCAGTGTTTAGAACACAACACAGGAGGAGGGGGCCTGGAGGGTCACCTCTGCCATGGTGTTCAACACAACAAACAGCTAAGATCCCCATGGTAATACATTGCATCCCAGTGGATGCTGGACAGCCCATTCAGCTTCTGTATTGGGGCAGGGCCTACGAAAGGCCAGGGAGCAGTCTATCAGCAGACAGTTACGATCTGTTTACTGTAGTAAAGGTGATGAATAGCGAGCACTCGCCACGAGCCTCCTTCATTCGTGCCCTTCTTGAGATTTAACATGTGTCACACCACAGTTGCACGCCTGTAATCCAACACTCAGGAGACTGAGGCAGGAGGATTGAGTCCAAGGCCAGCCTGGGCTCCATTGCAAAACCCTAACTGGAGGGAGTGAGGATGGAGGGGGTGAGGAGGAGAGGGAAGAGCAGCTATGGCGGCCGCAGGAACATCAGCACAGAAGCTTTCAATGAGCCGGGTGACAGGAGACGAGGCTAATCAAGCCACAAGCACAGGACTGTGTGTCATCTCCCCCAACAGCAGCCATTCCTGTGGCTCTCAAAGCATCAAATATGTTCAAAGACACTGGAAAGCAGATGTAATAAAGGATTCCTTCCCCCAGAGCACGGAGGGAGGAAGAGATGCCCCTTGTGAGCTTGGCTCTCAGCATGAACTTGAAATTCCACCAGCGAGCTGCCTGTCCCAAGTGCCCTAGCACACAGGCTTGCACTGGCCACATACTGAGCCCCACGGCTTTGCTTCTTGTCGTCTTCTGCGAAGTCCGACCCGCCAGCTGAAAGGCAGTTTTAACTAGAGCTGCCATCCCCTCACCCACCCCTGGGGAGGAGGAAATCTGGCCATCACCCCTTTGCCAGCTCGGGGCGGACAAAGCAGATTCACACTGAGGACAAATGCTTCTTGTTCTTCCTCAACAAAGTCATTGTGGGAGGCTCTAGTCTCCTGGAGCAGTATGTGTAAAAGTCTGCAAAAGCCCAGGGTCAGAAGACCGGGGACCTGGCGGCAGGTGTCACCATGTCCTCGCAGTCCCCAGGGCTCTGCTCGTAAACAACCAAGAAATGTCTCAGAACCACGGCATGCCCTCTCTTGACCTGCTGCACACAGACAGCATCAAGAGGGCTCCCTTGTCTCAAAACGCTTGGCGGTGGTTCCACAGTAAACAAGGCTACATCCGTGTTTCAATGCTGTGCGGAAGAGGGCAGAACCAGGCAGCCAGCTCCTGTCTCTACCTGGACAGGACAGTATTCGTGGTAAGGTAGAAAAATACAAAAGGTGTTGTCTGACTCTTTGGAAAAGCAGCTCTCAGGCCCACTGGGCCCTTTGTGAGGCCGCTGAGGCTGTGGCTGCTCCTGGCTTTTTCCGCCGGCAGACACAGGATTACTTGGCCTGAGCCTCCTGCAGAAGGGGGGCTTTGAAGGCAGAGGGGCTGTCCGACCATGCGGGGAGCTCATGCTGCAGCGGAGTCCTCCTGGGGTAGAATGTGTGGTGGACATCATAGTTCAGGAGACAGCTCAAGGACGCCATGTAGATGTCAGCGAACCTCGACAGACGCCTCAGGAAGTAGGTCGGGTTCTGGTCTGTGCGGAACAAGCTCCCGAACTGGGCGTTGAAGAAATTTTTGGTCATTTCTCTGAAGTGTCAAAAAATAAAAACAAAGCAACAGAGAAAGATTTTAAAGTGGTTTTTCTTAACTACTTGCGTAAAAATATACTTAAAACAAAAAGCTACTGGAAATAAAAAGTAGCCAGTTAGCAAAGAGCAGACCTAATGACCTAATTCCCAGAGAAACTGTGTGAGCCAGGTATGGGGCCAATGCCTGCATATCTGACCCAGGGCTGAAGTCAGATCGGGAAGACAGCCTAGGCTACACAGGGAGACCCTGTCCTACAAAACAAAGAAACCACAAAACACCATCTGTCAGGCCTTCTCTCAGCTAGCTGGTCACATTCCTCACTTACACCAGTTAAAATACTACTCTGAGGCTGCAATGTGAATGCATGCGCCTCCAGACACACACTCTGTGCAGATCAGAGCCGGCGGAGCTGTTCTGGAGGTATAATTCTGCGTGTTCCTAGGTCAAGAACTAAGCAAGGAAATAAAATGCTGTAAACCCTCAGTCTTCTCATGGAAGATTTATGGATTATAATGTTGATTACCACCCTCCTTGGCAGACCCTGAAGTGCCCTGCACGCTCCCTCCCAGCCTAGCCCACAGCACCCACGGGCACTCAGGCCACAGCGGGAGGCCTCTGCAGCCAGACCCCTGTGTGTTCCCATCTCAGTCAACATTCCAGCAAAATGGATCAGTGCCATTTGAATGGCGTAACGCAGGTTACAGATACAGCAGAAGTCTTTCTTGCACAACTGTGCATAAAAACCACTCAGTAGTTAGTAGTTAACAACTCCAGTTGTCATCGGAGACTGACAGATGCAATGACCAAATGGCCACAGCTGTTAAAACCCCAACCAGGTCTCTGCAGATGAACTACACAGATGGCATTTAAACTTTTCCTGCGACATCTCATGGAGATGAGAGGGGAGGAGCCGGAGAGATGGCTCAGTGACTAAGAGTACTTTTTGTTCTTACAGAGGATTTCCAACACCCACAAGGCAGCCCACAGCTGTCTGTAACTCCAGTTCTAGGGGACGTGACGTCCTCTTCTGACCTCCATTGGCACAAGGCATGGACAAGGTGCACAGACATATATGTAAGCAAAACACTCCTGCACGTGAAAAAAATCTAAATAATAATAAAAGAGAGAAGGAAACAAAAACAAAAAGATGTGTAGATAGCACAGGTGTGGAGCCTACGGGCGATCCCTGCCAGGTGAAGCGCTTCCTTAATGAGCCACTGTAGGGTCCTGAAAGTGTGTAACCCATGTGCTGTGGACTACAGGCCTTCAGAGACGGGTCCTGCAGTCAATCCCATTGTCCCCCTTTCCTACTTTCCTCTGCTCCACATTTTTATAGCAAAAGAATCAGGTCAGAATAAGCCCAAGCCAGCCAACGGGCTGAGGAAGAGGCAGGATGGGACTCGGTGCAGGCTTGGCATCTGCAGAGCCTTCACCATCCCTTGTCATGTCCCTGCCATTGCTCAGGGACCAGAAGCCCTGAAACAATCCCTTTCCACATCTCGGCTTAGGACACCCACATACAATTGGTAGAGAGAGTGAAAGCACCCATCACAGGGGAGCACAGGTGTCACCAAAGGCTCCTACGGACAACCGTTCTCTCGGGGCACACTCATGACATCTCTGACAACAGGAAGGCTTTCTGGGAATACTCCTGAAACAGCAGGCTGAGGATTCCCGTGTCCAGAGCCCACCCCTAACACAGTGCCAGCAGCCATGTGTCACTAGCTACCAACAACCTGGCGCTAGTCACAGGGAGAAAAAAAGCCATGGCCCCCAGGGGTTTCCAGTGGCAAGGGCAGAGGACAGATGGAGCTCACAGCTGGCTCTGAAGAAACACCTCACGTCACCATCCTACAGAACTGGTCCTGGAGACTTAACAGTCACCGTCACACCTGGGAGCTAGGACGGGATACCTCCGAACGTCACCTCAGATGCACAGAGCATATAGCAAGGGTAGGGTGACATTCACAGCGGGTGGATACGACGCCCTTACCTCATCTCCTTCCTCTCCTTCTTCCACTCCTGCAGAACCAGCTGGGAGTCAGCGTCTCTGTAGACCTGCAGGGACAGAAGCCAACTGTTTCCAGGGCTTTGGTTTCAGACAAACCCATTAGCAGTAAGCATTTCTTAATGGGTAACTTTTCATGAAAGAATCTCAGTCCTTAAGTCTAATAGGGAGGCACTTGTGTGAAGTAATGTGCTCTCCCAAGTGACGCACACAGAAGCTTCGGTTCTCTACTATTAGAAGCCTGGCTTAGGACTGAGATGGCTCAACAGATCAAGACACCTGTTCCCAAGTCTGGTGATCTGGTTCCATCCCTAGTGGAAAGAGAACCAACTCCTACAAGATGTCCTCTAACCTCACACAAATGAAGTGGCGTGTGTGCACGCACACAGACACACATACACAACACTAAATCTAAGAAGAACATATTCTAGCAAATTAAGATATAAAATTAGGAAGACATAAAACCATTACTAAAGGTTATATATAACACAATACATATATATCCACATATGATATGTGAGCCATGCCCGTAATACCCATATATTACATGGTAAATACACATTACATGGTATCTTCTGTCCCTCCTCCCTGAGTATGAAAACAATGGCTGAGGAGGGGCATGGTGTGTGTTGTGGGAACGCACTCAGTCAATCATGTGGATGGAGTATTCTTATTCATCTAAGCCGATGTCTTTACTGACTACCTCACATATGGTGAATGCACACCGTAAGAAAAGTGGCGATACATCCATAGATCCTAAGCCCACGGCATCTGGAAATTAGCACTGAAGTGTTTCACTTACACAAGACAACGGGACTCAGATGCTCTTCACTTTTATATCCCTAATGTCACATTAGCTTTGATGAAAAGGAGACGTGACGGACTCTCTGGTGATCAGAATATGAGCAAATGGCAAAAGGAAAAGTGACAGACGACTCCCCGCGAGCCAGGAGGTGGCACCTCATACCAAGGTTCTCACCACTAAATAGCAACAGTGAAGCCAGTGTCAGGGCACTCACGTGTGCTGCTACCTCCTGTTTATCACAACTGCCCAGCTCGACCATCAGCCAGTCAAAACCTGTTCCAACTGAGCCTTAGATTTCCTGCCTGATATCTGTCCAGAGCCAGGAAGCAGCAGTCACTGGCAAATCCTACCTGAGCGCTCCTAAGGCACCAGGTACTGAGCCAGCACCTCTGAGCTTTGATGGGGTACTACAGACACATTTTTAATTAGTGCTCCCATTTATTTTAGTGTTCTATTTTAGTGTGCGAGTGTTTCGCCTGTATGTATGTCTCCATCACGCGCATGCTACCCTCCCAGGTCTTTCTCCATCACTTAGGCATGAGCAGTCCCCTCTCCTGCGCCCATGTCATCAGCACCTAATCACGCTTGCCCCCGCCGTCCATGGTCCCTGCAGAGGTCTACAGACCCCAGCTGTCACCGTAGTCATGACCACTTTAAATGTCTTTCATGACCAAGGAAATTACTCTTTATAGTCATTTTTCCAAAACCAAAAGTTATATTCTTCTGCTCAATTCATCAGACTTAACGCCATACAACACTCTGCTACTTGTCCCCAAATTAAACCCAATCTCACAGGACACATTGTCTTAATAATGGTCTACTTATTTCGAAATTAACCATCACAGGAAGTTCTGGAAGCATAAGTCATCAGCTCAATGGAAAAATGGTGGTCCAGGTAGGGCGGTGAGGAAAGACGTTACCCACACCAACAGAACTCTTTAGTGCATCAGAACTTGAAGGGATGCAGCAGGCAGGTAAAGACCAAAGAGCTGGACAGAGGCCAGCATAAGGCCAGCACCGGGATTTCCTGCTAAGCTCAAGGAATCATGGGTATAGGCAGGCTGTGCTCTCAGGCTTACCCCAGAGTTTGGAGAGGAAGAAATGAACGTGAGACCTGAACCTTACATCGCACTCCACGTCTGCCTGGCTCCACACTGCAGCTACTCTGTAAGGGACAAGTGGCCTCAGCTCCGAGACTCCGTCTCCTCTCCTATAAGGTCAGGGGAGAAATAGACACGCCAATTCCCTCTTCTTACTTCCCTAGTCTATGTCTTGTGTGATGCATTCTGTATGTCACAGGAATATGTAAATACTACCATTCTCTCAGCTAGCAAGCATTTTCCGTAGGTCAGAGGGAAAACCTCGTTCCAGAGACAACTGTATTCAGCCAGCACACGCAGGTCACACATGTATATGTGGTCACTACAGCCAGCACACGCAGGTCACACATGTATATGCGGTCACTACAGCCAGCACACGCAGGTCACACATGTATATGCGGTCACTACAGCCAGCACACGCAGGTCACACGTGTATTTGATCAGATGCTCAGTCACAGAAGGAATACAAATCAGGCAGGAGCTGTCTCCTTATCCTCAGAGGGAGGGTTGTTCCCAGACCCCATGACCTAAAATTGTGGGCACTAACAAACCACACACACACACACACACTGTTTTTCCTATATGTGTATACCTATAACAAAAATCAATTTATAAATTAGGCACAAAATGAGATTAATGACTAATGATAAAGAAATAGCTTTAACAATATACTATGAACGTTATTTAAAACTTACGGATTGTTTATTTCCTAAATTTTCCATTTCATATTTTTTGACCACATAATCATAGGCAACTAAAACAAAAGCACAGAGAGCGTCCCAGTAAGAGTATCACAGAGTCTTAGCGCCGCCTGACAACCACTAAGGCAGCGAGCACTTCAGGGTAGTGCTGGGCAGTCCAGACTCAGGCAGAGCCGTCACTTAACCTCTCAAAACCCAGCTTCCTTATTCTAAAATGTCCCTGCACACACAGGACAGCCGTGACTGAAGGCTGTGCCCCACGCAAGCCCTTGGCACGATGGTGGGCACATAAGGAGCAGCTACTACCTTGTGACACAGACAGACTCAGCAGCATTAGGCCAGACTCGACATCCAATATTTTTAGAAAACCACCTCACAGCACACACGGTAAAGAAAGCAAAACAAAACCCTGGTCAGAAGAGCCAAGAGCCAAGGTCCCAAGGAACCCAGGCCTGGAGGACGTGCAGGGCCCCATGCACTGGAATGTGTACCCCGGGAGAGAGGACAGGCCTACCCTGCCTCTCCTCGAAGCTTGGCAGCAGAATCTGTGGGCAGAAGGCCATGGCCAGAGGCTGCAGGTGTGCAAGCCAAGAGTGGCCATCTGTGCCACTGAACCTAAGCATCTCACGCGTTCACACGGCTGTCGAGATGGGGTGGGAGGAGCAAAGGCAGTCACAGGTCACAGGTACAGCCGAGGGGCTGCAGCTCGGGCTAGGAAATGAGTGTAACAAAAGCATCCTGTCTAAACTGCCCCAAACTGGCTGCATGACTTGCCAATGAACTCTGGAAAGCAGCTAATCACAGTGCCACTGGAGGCTGACCCAGGATCCCAACTTACTCTGTGATTCTTTGGTGGCTAGATTGGCATGTTGATTCCCAAGGACCCTTCATTTTACAGATGGGGAAACTGAGGCCAGGGCAGGGTAATCTAAAGGCAGGGAAGGTGGATGAGCATAACTGTTTTCACCAACAGAGGAACAAAAGTAGCACCTACCATTAAGACCCGCCGAAGGCTCCAAATGGCTTGGTAAAGGTCCCATCAAGGGGAAAGGAGAAAATAACCGCCAGCAACGCTACAGTATGCCGAGGACAGCTTAGCCCTTATGCTTCATATTACACAGAAAATACAGGACATGCTTTGATCAGAGACAGTCCTGAAGCTTACAAGGGAAAGGAGAGAGAGAAACAACAACAACAAAAGTAACACCCCAACCTGCATCTGCTCCAGGAGCCCCGTCAAGGTCTGTAGCCAGGTCATGGTCTGAATGTACTGCTCCGTGTTCATGATTTTGAGCTCAGACCGCAGCTCGGGGATGATGGCTCCAGTGCGCCAGCCATGCTTCAGGGTCAGATCCTGATCACAGAGGTCAGAGGATGCCACATCAGTGCCTCAGGACGCAACAGTGTGTCACCTCTCCCAGCCCTCAGGACGCAACAGTGTGTCACCTCTCCCAGACAAGGGAGGCAGCCACTCGGTCACTCTTTAATTGTAATGGTTGGTTATTAACCAGGTTGGATGTGGTGAATTACACTTCATTTAAGATCAATTTGGCCCCAGGCTTTGACCACTTCACCCAGGGAAAGCTTCTGCTCTGGAAATCATGGCTGTGACTCACAGCTACTTTGGAGATTGGGGGGACAGAAAGGTTCCTGGCATTTCGTGCTTATCGTAGTGCTTTATATGGAAGGAATTTGCATATTAAATCTGGGAGCACATTTCTTCTTTCCATCATTTCGAAGAGAAAAATAAAGGTTATCTTCTTCACAACTCCGATCTTTCGTGATTTGTCAAAGTGAGCCACTCAAAACTGTGACCCCCCACACACTCCTAGTGTCTAAGGAAAACAAAGATTGCGTCACTACCTCCACCCCTACTAGGCGGAAGAAATGACAGTCCCCACTGAGGGAAGAAGACTCCTCACCGCCAGGTCACTGTATATGTGGTCACCAAAATACAGCACTTTGGATCCTCTCCATCCAGTGAGCTTCAAAAACTCATACAAATTGCCCTGCAACAGAAGAAGGAGATAGATCACTGTATGTCGGAAACACCGTGGCCCAGTCTACAATACCTATGCTTTAAAACTTGTAAAAGATGTTTTTAACCCCTAAGATTTGTTGTACATACCAACATAGAAAGCTAAAAGCACACTCAGGGAAAACTGTTTAGACCTTTCTTTGATGCCAAATGTACTCTGAAAAAATTTCACTGTCAGGCATGATGACCCCAACATTCAGGAGGCAGAGTCAGGTGGATCTCTGTGAGTTCAAGGCCAGCCTGGCTGACATATTCCAGGTTAGCCAGGACTACGTATAGTGAGACTGTCTCAAAAACAACGACAACAACATTTCAGGCTACATAAGCCTCTTTGCAATGATCTTGACGCTACCCAAGCATGCTGGGACCGTCATTCCACACAAGCGACTTTTAATTCTGTTGTGACAACTACAGTTGATTCCTTCTGCCAGTGAGCACTAGCGGCATCACTGCCCTGTAGGGGTCTCCCAGGGCGTTCTATCAGCCACATCCAAACCTTCTGAGTTATTAGAAGTAAAATTGCCTGAATTCAAACTCGTTTTTCAAGGCCTGGAGAGTACATCGATGGTAAATTTAGCAGGCTATTACAAACCTACCAAGAATGTCGAGTAAAGAAAACAATTCCAACAACATAAAAATGATGATCAGCATGGCCCAACCTCCTGACAGCCTTACAGGATGATGTCAAAGGGTTTAAAACCGCACAAGGAATGTTGGATGAATAATACACCAAGATTAATGGCCCTCAGAGAGAGCTCTCGGAGGTTTACTACCGACACTTTACATTTTATAGAGGGTAATGCTTTAAATAATATTTTTTAGAACGGTCAACTTTGAGTTAGTGCGAATACCAGCATACGGACCCACTGCATTGACTCTGGCCTAAGTTTTACCATTTAATTATAAGCAGCCAGTCAAGGGATGGACTGTGCCAAGCGCTTGCACAGGCTCGGTATGGGCGGCCCTCTGCGTGCAGACACAAAGCCAAGCAGCCGAAAGGAGCCGGGGAAGGCGCAGATACCTGCTTGTAGATCTGGCCTTTCTGGAGTTTATGGATTTTATCCCAGAGTAAGACACCTTTCTCATTCACCTTCCGGAAAGGTCTAACAACAGAAAAGGGAAGCGTTACTAGAACACAGAATGATAACCGGGGACTCACGGACAACATGAAGTAGCTCTTGGACCCCAAACCTCACTGCGCCCCTGACCCAGGGCACCCCATCCCACACTATGCAGACCCCACCAAAAACCCACTACCTACAAGTAGGTGATGAGGAATAAAGAAAAAGTGAAGAAGAAAAGAATTCTAGGGTCAACCACCCTTGGCAAGCACAAGCCCTTTTAGCCAGGTTTCCCTAGCACATCTGGCAGGGCAGAGAGCATCTGCTTCTCGGGGGAAGCCTGCAGGGACACCGCTGCCACCCTGGGTCAGACACCAGGCAGAGGGCAGGGGCACCAGCTATGATGGGGCTGGGAGTGTGGCACAGCCCACGGGGCTCAGGGTCCTTTTGGGGCAACTGTTTCCCCAGTCACAGAAATAGAAACTTCCTGTAGGTATCAAAATCGAATTTCCCTTTTCTAAGGAACATGAAGATTTCTGTGCACTTTTATTTATATGTCTTTTCTTTAATCCTGTGAGCAATCTCTCGTGTGACGTCATACTCCCTAAACACATTAGCAGCAAGACAAGCTGGCCGCTTAACCTGGCCAAATCTGTCATCTTTAGTGGCTGCTTAACATTTCCTCACATGGATATTCTGAATGAACGAGTCATCCTCAACGGTTGGGCTTCTATAAATAACGGAAGGAACGGGAATGTTTCGGCTGTTACTGCAGACATCCAGAACAAGGGGGAGAAGGTGCGGGGCCGTGAGTCCCTCCCAGGAAGAGCTGGGGTCCTGACCCCCGCACTGTGGACAAACATGTCAGAAAAGCCTGGGTGAAGGGAGGCCCAGCTTTCCCAGGGATCCAGGAATTGTGCGAGGGCCCTGAAGCAACATGGTGAGCGTGCCGCTTCTGATTCCACTCAAGACTCTGGCCTGTATTCTCATTCTCTGTGCTTGGCTTTGCGGCTTGCCTCTTGTTCCGGGAGCCACTGTGGAACTGAGCATCCCCCAAGGAGTATACACTTGCTTCACTAACTTCAGGTACCACACTAGGGTGCTTGGACCCACCACAGCAAAGGCTGCTGGTCACCAGCCACAGACCAGGAAAGCCCGTGCAAACCTTCCCAAACTAGTGCCTTAGACAGAAACTATTCTTAGAATGCTATCACAAGAATCCTCAACAATGTGGGTCTCTAGAAGTGGGGGCCACCTATCTGTCCCCCAGGATAAATGACATTTTAGCACTCTTGTGCTGTTCCCAACTGCTCCTTGTCACCTCCCAAAACTCCGGAGGCAGGGCGGGGGGCGGGGGGGACATTACATAAGACATGGTTGAACCTTGTCCTGGATGGCAGAGAAGTCTGCAAAATCCAGCTGCAATTTTAGATGCACCAATTAGCTTTATTTCAAGAGACGCCACCAGGCGATCTGGCATTGGTAGTGCTCTTATACGTCACAAGGTATGTGGAGCCAAAGACCTACTTTGCTGTGTGGTATTGATCCTTGTTTTCCATCGTAGTCTATCAGTTTCTTAAAGCCTGACCCCCATGACCAAAGCAACCCACACTGAGCTGAGAATGCTGTCTATGTGCCCGCCCACTCTTCCCAAAGCTGGGTGTTAGACGGGTTACAAATCCGGAGCTGTGCCTCGGATGCTCGGGACCTTGTAACTGCATTTCACTAAAGCACGCTCTTCCCGTATTCGCAGAATACCAGCAAGCCCCCGACAGATGGGCCTTACCTCCTCTTATCGTTGAAGAAGTTGGGTTTCTCGGCCTGAACTATGACCACATCGAAGAGGTCCCGCCAGTCCTTCCCCACGATGTACCGCATCCCTTTGTCTCTGGAACAAGGCAGCCAGGTGAGCTAACACCAAAGGGATGAACTTTTTAAATGTCTTGCAAACTACTCCTTCCCAGCTGCCAAGACAGATGGCATCTGAGCCATGAGCCAGCCGCTGGCGAGGGGACAGAACTTACACGAAGCTGCTGGGGCTGTTGGTGATGAGGAACATCTTCTTGCCATGGTCAGCCAGCTTAGCCAGCACCGCACGGGTCTGCTCAGCGTAACAGATGTACTTCTCTAAGGATGAGGGAGAAGTTCACGCGGTCAGGATGAAATCAGGCGCTTCGGAGGCGCTTACAGGGTGGGCACACACACACACACACACACACACACACACACTGAAACAGAGGATAGTGTGGCACAGCAGCCATCACCTCTCTTAGAACGACACTGACAGACACCAAGCTCTAGGACAGAGAGGAGACACCTTCACTGCCAGAATCAGAGTCCTTAGACAACACCCAGGATATGCCTGTGGTCCCTGTCCAGCCCCTAGGGCATGAAGTTTAAAAGCCCACACAGCAGTACAGCGAGGGCAGCTGAGTACGTACCAATGTCCGCTTCAATGGCCCGGTACATGATTCCCTTGATGTGGACATCCCGTATGGAGTCCTGTCAAAGGCAGATTTGTCATCAGTGAAAGGGGAGCTGGAGTCGGCCCCCGTGGGGCAGCATCGGCCCTCACCTCCGTCTTAAGAGCCTGCCGCCCCACATGCTACCTATCTCAACACCAGCCCATTGAGCCCAGGTAGGACTTTAGGAAAAGCTGTGTTCCCACGGTGGCAGGGGCTGCTGCCAATGCAAGTTCAAAAAGCCTCTCTTTAAAGAGGTCATTTGTGTGATTCTGAATGAAGTCCCACGTGACAAAGAGTAGTTTACATGCAGGATGGCAAACAGATCGATGGCAGACAGCCTCTGCAGGAAGGGGGCCCTGGCCTGCAACAATAGATGCAAACAGTTCTAAGGCAGGACCTCCTCTCTGGATGCCACCAGTAGGGCTAGAAGCTGCCCCGTCACTGTCACCGGGCAGCAGCAGGTCTAACAAGAAAGAGGAAGACAAAAACTCCATTGTAGGCTCAGGGCTGTGCCAGCATGGCCTTGCCCGGTGTCACTGAAGGTTCCGCTTGCCGGGTGGAGACCGTGCAGCAGGCCCTTTGTGGACTCCTGAAGGGCCCAGGGAACCTTCTGGTTCCTGGAGCAGGGGTGTATGCCTGCCACTGTTAGCGTGCTTCTGTCAGAGTGGGCCACTCTGAGCTACACTCTGAATCTCAGCTACCTTCAGCGTAAGCCTGTTCTAAGTCTACACAACACAGAAGACGATGGGTTAACGCAAGCTAAACTGTCTGGGTTAAAAATCTAGGCCCTGCCATTAACTAACTGTGTGACCCAGGACATTCAGGTTCTCGGTGCCTCCGTGTCTTTACATCGGGAGTGATGATAATAGTAACACCTCCGGGTACCAAACACAAAGATGTAATAAGCTAATGCAAAACCCTCCTATCAGGGCCTATTATTATCTGTCAATAATATATAAACATATTTTTAGTTACTGAGAAACTGACACAGATTAATACATAGAGTTCTATAAATAGGTAACTGTGAACACAAACTTATAGAACATGTACATATGAATCTGAGTGTTTGTATCTGTCTGTTGCCCTCCAGTGGGATTCTGAAACGGCTTCTGCAGGCCTCGGTGAGTCATGTGGAGCCTTTGTGGATATGAGGAAAAGATGCCCTGTTAACCAATCCCTCCGGCTCTCCTCACCCCAATACATCCTCGTGAAACACGGTGTACACCAAAGCACACTGTATCCCCTAAGGGTGTGCAATGACCTGGCATTTGAAAAGATTTTAAAAGGGCTCCCTCTGGGTGATGGCAGCCTCACAGCTGAAGCACGGGGCATGGACAGTGGCCTCTTCTGTCTTAAGAGGAGACAGGCTCAGGGGATTCAAAGTCCAGGTCCTGGCAGGCACCATCTGTGTTAGAGCATGCTGTCCTGGTTATTCTGAAGCAGCCCTGTCCCTTTATGACAGCCACAGTCAATCACAGAGACTGGTGACCCCAGAGAAGTACCACCCAAACTCCCCACCCAGACGCAACTGGCCTTCTCCAGAAAGACACAGAGCCACTGCCCTGAGCTCCTGCCCTCTGCCCTCACCTTGACATCTTTGTACAGGTGCACGGGCTCGTAGTCAATGTTGTTCTTCAGGAAGTGCTCATTCACACACGACAGCAGGGTCATCTCGGGCAGTGAGAAGATATCCATGAACTGCTTCATGGTGTTCCCGTGAGAACTCTGCGGGCAGAAGGCAGGCTGAGCGATGCAGACCCCATCTCACGTGGTGACAAGCAGCGAGAGGCTGCCCGGAGGCCAGGGGGTCCCAGCGATCTGCACTCGGCTCCCCCTGCACATGGGGGAGCTTCAACGGTGAGCACCTAAAGTGCTCCCTTGTTCCTGGGCCTCCAGGGGTGATTCTCCCTCCCTCCCTTCCTCCTGCTCTCCCTTCTCTTCCCTCCCTCCTTCTCTTCTGCTCTCCCTCCTCTTCCCTCCCAGGAGGTGAGAAAAGCCCGGATCATGCCCAGCAAAGGCAGCTGAGCAGACCTCAGTCTCAGAATGCTTCAGCCGGGCCTCAGGACGACCACAGCTGCTCCTAGGCAACCCCTAGGGACTCACACCATAACGTGGAGCCACGCTTGCAGGGATATGGGGACAAATGGGGTGACTGAGAAGACAGAGCCTCCACCAGAGGGGATCGTCAAGAGCCAACAGTGGCTCTCTCTCTCTCTCTCTCTCTCTGATCTACACTCTACACTCTCTCCAGACCCGATCTCAGGGTCCCATCAATCACACACACACCAGGCGAGCCCAAACATTAAGTTTCTTTAGCTACAAGCACCCCCCCTCCCCAAAGCACCTGTGCACAAGGCTTGGCTCTTTCCAGGTGGTGCTATTGAGAAGCAATTGGGTCAGAGGCTGCTAATTTCATCCGCAGGTCATCTCATGACCAACTCACACTGACTGACTAGTAAGACGCAGGGCCCAGCTGTAGGAAGCAGATGTAGCTCAGCCCCCAAACCCTTACCTTTCTCCCTCTTTCTTCTTCCCCCTTTCCTCCACCCCACCCTTCTAAATAACGCTGTGCCTCACTGCAGACCTGGGAGCATCAGAGCCGTGACCTCCGAATCCAGAAGCCCAGCTAAGTCCTTCCTCCCTAAGACGTTTCTCCAGCCATAAAACTGCCGACCAAAGGGGAAAGGCGGCTGCTTCTGACGACCCAGCAGCTGTCCTTACCTTTCCGTAAAAGTCACTCATCTGCTCCAAGGGCACATGGGATCCCTCATACATGTCTATGACTTCCTCATCAGGGACAACACTGAGGCCTCTGAAAAAACACAGGTGGTGTCGTTACAGGGTTCGACTGGAGAGAGCAACGTCTGACTTCCGCACACTGATGGGGTTTTTCCACTATGGCAGGAGGCCTGCTGGAGGCAAAATATGACACAGGACACAGTAGCAGCTACGACCAGCAGACAGGATGCTACTGCCAGGCTTCTGTCGGAAACAGGATCCAGATTTACAGCAATAACTAATCCTACATGACATCTCCAACACGCCGAGCGGGATTTCACCTGGGCACCCAGCTACCTGTCACCTGTCCTAGGAGTTACTGCTCTTCCCACAGGAATGGTTACATGCCTCCCTCCAAGTTATCCAGGCAGAAAGCATCGCATCAGGGTTAAATCCGCTCTCCATGGCTTTCAACCCCCCCCCCCCAAGGAATTGCTTCAGGTGGCGATTTTTCACACATCTGAGCAGAGAAAGCTTGTTTCTGTCTCTAACTCATCTTCTTCCTCCATGACTGTCCCCAACACTGAGTGCTGAGGTGGAAAAAGTCACGCAAGAGGCCAAGTGGATTACATGCATGCCCTGCAGCAGGAAGCTCAGGGAGAGGAGCGCCAGGTGACACGGAATGCCCGCTCCCCTCTGCACACATCCACTCTAGGCCTGACCTGGAACTTGCAAATCAGTCCAGTTCCTGCATATCCAGGGGAAACGTCACCCACTCAGCCAGAGCTGCCCATCTCAGAAGGCTGCTCTTCCGCCCTTCTCCAGGGGTGAGCACTTGAGAAACAGAACTGGTAATTAGGAAACAGCAGAAGGCCTCGCTGCCTTCCACAGGGGCAAGTCAATCAGCAGAAGTGCCAACGGGCTGATGAGGTGCAAAGCAACCCGACCTTAAGAGGCTCATGGTGCAGTCTGTGCTTTGACGTGTGATGTCTGCCAGTCTCCACATTAGGGCTAAACGCACGGAGTGCACTCACTGACATTTTGCCTGGCTGACCTGTCACAACTCCTGGCCTTTGAGAACAAAAACAAAACAAAACCACGCTGTGCTCCAGCAATCAGATAAGACCTTGTAACAAACCAGGTCATTCTAGACTGACCTTGGATAACAGCCACCGACAGAACCACACAAGGAAAGAAAGCAGGCAAAACCAAGAGGGGATCCGATGAGGTGAAGGTAGGTTACACACACGCATCTGTGCACATGCACGCACGTGCACACACAAACCCCAGCAGGCAAAATCATGGGGGGGAATCTGTTGAGGTGAGGGTCGCCCACACACCCACACACACACAGGGGATTCGATGAGGTGAGGGTTAGTTAGTCACAAGCACACACACACACACACACACACCGGCCTTGCCCTTGAGAAGTCAACACCGCTGCTGAAAGTCAAGCCCAAGGGTGTGACCTGCGGCAGAGGTCAGAACTGAACAAGACTGGAGCCGCTGCTTTCTTCCCCCACGGTTCTCACCTGGTTGAGGGACCGAGGTGCGGCGCGTTTGCCTGCCTGTCCTGGGGCACTTCTAGCACACTTCAAAACCAGCTACACTACAGGCTCTGGGGCTGGCCAGTTTACAGAGACACCAAGGCTCCCAGAGCCTTGCTGAGACCCATGAGGTAGGGCAGCAGAGCTGGGGTTCACGTGGGAAAGTCAGTGTGACCCCCGAGACAGGCACACGACATGGCACCCTGGAGACTCACTCTGCTCTGGTGGCAGAGAGTGTGCTGGAACTTGCACCTGAGGGTCCCTTCTTAAACACCTCACCTGGTTCCCCCTGCTGAGCCCTGACATCTGGCCCTTACACAAAGGCCAGGGACACACAAACAAAGGGGATAACAGGAGTGGATGGGTGGGGGTCAGGACGGGATGGGAAGGACCTGGGAAGGAGCAAGGAAAGAACAGGACCACTTCAGGCTGGGAGGGGGAAACAGGACAGGCAGCAGCGGGCCATGGGTGCTGGCAGGAATGGGAAGCCAAGGAGTGGGGAGAGGAGCATGAGGCCGGCCAACGCTGTTCTGGGGAAAGCAGAGCAGAGACTTCCTGCTGTTTTCACCCAGCTCACCCACTCCCATCACCCGAGGTCACTTGGGGCACAGGGCCCACCCTGTGTGAAGGACAGGAAGCTCCTCCACTCTCCAGACCTGAGGCTGTGGGATGCAAGCTGATGCTGGTTGAGAACACAGTAACGCATCTGTGTTGGTTTTCAGTTACTTGCGACTAAGAGTCTTAAATCCAGGCACTTAAGAACCTGTGTAGATGCAGTCTAGGGCAGTCTACAAGCACAGGCAGCCCTCAGGGTCCGAGACAGGGGCTGTTGAGAGTGATATCTGTGCGGGCGAACAACATTGGGGAACGCCCATGAGGGCCAGGAGTGAGGGGACGCTGTGCTTGAGGCCAGGAAGGACGTACAGATGTGGGGACAAAAGGGACGATCTGGTGAGGATTTTCAGAACACTGGTGGCTTCTGGGATGGCTGCTCTGGGTTGAACCCCGGGACCAGCTCCACAGAGTTGTCCCCTCACAAAGCCTGTCCCGAGACAAGCACCCACACTGGGGAAGAACAAGAGGGCAGAGTCCATTTTTTAAACAAGAAAAAAAATTGAATTATTGGAAAATAACCGTGTTTGGCACAAGACATTTTGAAAAAGCAGAGGTATCTGGGTCAAAATGAAGCAAATAAGCCAGGCAGTGGTGGCGCGTGCCTTTAATCCCAACGCTCCAGAGGCAGAGTCAAGTGGGTCTCTGTGAGTTCAAGGCCAGCCTGGGCTACAGAACGAGTACCAGGGTAGGCTCAAAGCAAACCCTGAACAAAGAAGGAAACTGAGGTACATGTTTCTGCCTATGAAGCCACACGAGGAAGACTACTGTAACAACTGAGGTCCAACGAGGGCAGGAGACCGTGACCAGAGCAGACAGGGACAGAGTGCCCGAAAGCCAAACCCTCACCTGCCACAGCAGGGCAGTGTCCGTATCTAACAAATCAACAAACATGGCCACGCCGTCTAGGAATTCTATGCACAAGCGTGGATACACACACACACACTGAAGGACCTACAGTTCTAAAGAGCCCACAGTGCTGGGGCGGAGGGGGACAGGGCTGCTGCTGGGCCTGGCGCCTTCACTGGTGCTCGAGTCTACCTGCAGGCCTGCTTTACTCTGACAGAGTTTATGAGACAACAGTCTAAACTATAGCATGCGTGCCTCTTAAAGAATAAGACACACACTAAGACCAGACCGACCACTCCCTGAACCCCTCCCCAATAAGAAAACTATTGACAGCCAAAACCCTTCATTTTAAGTCAGAGATTCCTTCTACCTAACAAAGTGCTTCTATGAGTTCTAAAAAAAGAAGAAAAAGAGCCAATATTGGGCTCCCTAATAGTCACAGAGAGAATGAGATGCTCTGCCACCCACACCCGTGTGGCTTCTCACCCACCCTCAGCTCCTGAGGGCGTCCCTACAGACAAACACGAGCCAGGCCTCGGCGTGTATTCCTGAATGAGTTACTCACGGCCACTTCCCTCATCCCTGGTCAGTGAACGGAGCCTGAAATGCAAAGCCCCTGGGTTACACCTGGGAGCGAGAGGCCACTTCCTCTTACCTGTAGACGGTTCCCATCTGGATGTAATGAAAAGCATCGATCTTCATCAACACTGCCTTTAAAAACAAACATGTGCACACATGTGAACAACAATTTGCATACAAGATGAACAGAGCAAGGGCCGTTATAAATCCTATCAATATTGCGTTTCCCTAACATGAGCATTAGGAGGATTCTCAACCTTTAAAACAGTTCTTCATGTTGTGGAGGCCACCAACCATAAATTTATTTTCGTTGTTACTTCGCAACTGTAATTTTGCTACTGTTATGAGTTGTGATGTAAATATCTGTGTTTTCCTGTGGTCCTAGGCGACCCCTGGGAAAGGGTTGTCAACCCCCAAAGGGGTCGGGACTCAGAGGTAGAGAAACACTGCATGCATGGTTTCTAAGAGCCTTGCGTATTAACTGAGGTGCGTTTGAAGGAAACGGCAATGAGAAAAGAGAAAGGAATAAAGTATGGCAGCTGCCCCCTACCAGCATTAACCCGCATTCCCCACCGGCGCCTGAGACACACGCCTTCCTAACGCCTCCCTCTTCTGATTGGCTCCACCAAATATATTTGAATAATTTCATCCTGCAGCCCCGAAGAACTGCATTCCGACCCATCTACCATGGAAAGCACTAGGGGTTTTATTAAGCAGCTCTTTGCTTCCAACACCTTAAAACTGCAGAAAACCAGGAGATCAGACTCACCCGCTGGACATCATAATGGAGCCCACGGATGGCGAAGTTTGGGTCATACTCGTACTTCCTGATCTCCGCGGGGTACTGAGGGGACAGAGGACACGTGATGAGTGAAATATGAAAGAAGAAGACACGTGTGGGGATACAGTCCTGGGATCGAAGCACTTAGGAAGTGGGGCAGAAGGGTAAAGAGTTCAAAGTTATTCTCAGCTACACATGGAGTTCAAGGCTAGCTTGGGCTACCTCAGTCCCTGGCTTAAAATAAAACAGGAAAGAAGGGCAGGGCAGTAAGTTCAGGACAGCACAGATCGGCCCTGTACGATGGCCTGGGAGTCGTTAACACTTTGGTGAGAAAGTGATACCCATAGGGATAGGCCAGCTTGGCCCTCTGTTTCTCCATCCTGCCCTGGGCTCCATTGGTCCAGGTTGAGATCAGACCCTTGATCCCACTTGCACACCATCACGTGGAGCCCTGCAAGGCCAACCCTAACTGTCAGCCTCACAGGATCTGGTATCTTCATGGAGACAAACCTCTGGGCACATCCGAGGGACTTCTAGATTGGGCTCACAAGGAGCTGAGACCATCCTAGATAAGGGCAGCACCATCCACGGTGCTATATGAAAATTAAGTGAACTGGGCATGTGGAACAGTCCTTTACACTGTGTGAATAAATGTCGCTGTGATTGGTTTAATAAAGAATAGGATAAGGTCAGGCAGGAGAGCCAGACTAGGAGGACGCTGGTAGGAAGGAGGGTGGAGTCTGGAGTGGCGAGCAGACACAGATGGGCATGCCGTACTGAGAAAAGGTACCAAGCCACGTGGCAAAGCATAGCTAAGAAATACGGGTTAATTTAAGTGTAAGAGCTAGTAACAAACCTGAGCTATCGACTGAGCATTTATAATTAATATTAAACAAGTCCTCTCGGTCCTGCTTCAAGATTTCTCTGCCACAATGGACTGGGCCCTCAAACTGTAAGTCGAAATAAACCCTCCCTTCCTTATTTCTATCAACTTCACGTTACCATGACCTTGGCATCCAAATGAGGTCTTTGGGGGAAGCCTCCATACTACTGACTATTGCTACTGTTCTCACCCAACTGTGCTGGCTGGGGAACCCCACAGCCGCTGTCCCAGGGGACTTTCTCAGCCTGTGGCCCCATCCACTTATACTGTTCTGAGAACACACGAAGCCTTTGGAGACAGACAGCCTGGTCTCTGCTCTTCCTTAACTGCATACTCTTGCTCACATTATACAAAAATGCCAGTCCCTCCTCTACACTGCATGAGAATCCAGGTACCTTCTCCCCTCGACCCAGACCTGAGAGCACCCTTCTGCCAGCTTCTGCCTGTAGGTGCTGCCGCGTCCATTTTGCAGAAATAAAAGCAGGACAAGCATCACCCCAGGGAGCCTGCCAAGCCACACGGCTGCCGGCTTCCTGGAACCGCCAGGCACCACCTGCCTGAAGGCGCATGGCAAGTTTCAAGTCAGCCTGCACCGGCAGTGACTTGAATGTCACATTTGGGCTCATTTATCTTACACCTGTGCGCCTGCCAAGAAATCCCCAACCTGATATTTCTCTTCTGAACACCATGTACAGTTCGCGTATTTATTGAGATATTCACCAAAGCCCACACTAACGCAGCCACGGGGACATGGCTCTACTCAATGACTGAAGGCCAAAACTGCAGAGCCTCTGAGCCTCCGCCAGCCTGGGGCGGGGCCAGGAAGATGTACTCAGGGTCAGGAAGCAGCACAGTGGCTGAGCCAGCACTGGGACCTGGATCTATCTGTGCCACCTTCAGGTCCACCCTAACCGACTTAATCTATTCTGAATCAGCCCAGCACCCTGTCTTAGTTGGGGTTTCTCCTGCTACATAAAACACCATGACCAAAAGCAACGTGGAGAGGAAAGGGTTCTTGTAACTCTCAGTCCGTGCTCCATTGCTGAGGGAAGTCAGGGCAGGAGCTCAAGGCCAAAACAGAACAAAGGCCATGAGAGTGCTGCTTACTGGCTTGCTCCCCATAGCTTGCTCAGCCTGTTTTGTTATAGCACCCAGGACCACATGCCCAGAGGTAGAACTCAAATCAATAAGCCAGCATCAACCAAAAATCAAGAAAAGCCCTACAGACTTTGCCACAGGCAATCTCATAGAGGCATTCTCTCTAACGAGTTTCCTCTTCCCTGATAACTCCAGCTGTGTCAAGGTGATAAAAAACCAACCAGGAAGGCCCCTCTCCTAGAAGCTTTACCGCTCCCCTGTTACAGCAGCAGCTACCAACTCAGAAGCTCAACAAGCTGGCTGGACACCGCCTTTCCATAGTAACAGAATAGTCGATGGCCTCGAAGACAGACAGAAAAGCCCCCGCAGGACAATGGCTTCAGGAAGAACGTGAGCATCCTGATAAAGTCCAAAGTTGCCCTGTACAGGACAGCCTGGTGACATCCCTCATGGGCACTTGGGTACCCATGGGTAATCCCTACTGACCTGGAGCCTGGCTGTGTTCCACTTCTGTGGCTAACAGCAGCTCTCTGAACGGCTAACCACAACAAAAACCCCAAGGCAGAAATGGATGAGAGCTCCGAAGGGCATCATGGAGAGGTAGAGAGGAAGTTCCCAACTGGACAGATCTATTGTGCATCCTGCCCCTGTGGTCTCTAAGGCAGAGAACAGAAGCAGGCGGGCTGTGGAGAGAAACAACGACACTGGCCCTAGTTCATGCTGGGTGCCTTATAGACACCAAACATCTGTAACACAGCTCACACTTAGTGACCACAGCAAAACCCCGCGGGAGGTGCTGTTCTTAAACCTATTTTCTACAGGAAGCCAAGTCCAGAGATGCAGTGGATAGATGGACTTGGACCAAGGAGGAGGCTACCAAGCATTCGTCTGGAGACCACGAGCTCTCAGCGTTTAGCCAGAAGTGGGGGACAGTACCGACAGGAAGTTAGGACAGGATCCCGTGTACCAGGCGACAGTGAGCTCGGAGCACACCACAGCTGGGCAGCACAAAGGCAGCACCATGCGGAGCCACCCCCTGGTGCCTGCTGAGGGACAGTGGCAGGTGGAAGGTGGGGCAGAGCTACCTGGCTACTCAGGGCCTGTTCCCCTTGGAGGAGAACAGACGAAGAAATGTGGATGACAAAAAGTGTAAAAACAGAAGAAAGTTCCCACTTGGGCTTAGTGACAAGACTAGGGCATTTTTGCCCTTTCTACATCATGGATCAGGACAGCATAACTGCGTAAATCCACTGAGAAACACAAGTACAAAGAGACTGTGCCCAATGCCAGGACCTAGACAAAGGGGACTTAGGCCCCTCCCATCTAGTACCAGGGCGATGGTTTCTCCACACTGGTCACACTTTGTCACATCTGAGAGGGGACAAACTGCAGATTTCACAACCTCAGTTTCCAGGTTACTCACTGCACCCCAGGCCACCTCTACTGGCCAACCAGACCAAAATCACACCCCTTTGGTTGTTTCCCCCAGCACTCCCTGAAAAAGCTAATCCCACTATTGGCTGTGCCTCTTTAACCCTCTGCTCTGGAGTCCTCAGGAGGTCTATCAGATGGCTCCATCCCACTCCCTCTGGAACAATGTCTGTGTCACCCCCTTACCCTTCCTGCATCCCCAGCGGGCCGTGGCTCATAAAAGCCAGAGATGAAGCATGGGGGATGGGGGGGGGGGAACAGATGGTGGGGAGGGAACGCATGGGCAGAAGAGCTCGACAGTGACCACCACCAAGGACAGAACGCTCAGCACACAGGGAGCTCCCAAATCACAGCAAAGCCCTGGGGAGACAGAGATCACAGCCACATTTCTCGGGTAGTATAGGGGTTTAAAGGGCATGCTCCTGATTCCAGAACTGGAGGGGTGGAGCTTGCTGACTGATAGTCTAGCCTAATTGGTAAGCTCCTGGCCAATCAGAGGCCGTCTTAAGAGAGATGGGCAACACTCCTGAGGAAGACACACAAGGCTGTTCTGACTCCCACCTGTATACACACTTGCACACACCCATGCGCTTGCACATTCACGAGCACTCATGCATGCATGCATACACACATGTGCACACATACATACAGCCAGGTTCTAGAGAAGTAAGAGTCACTTGGAAACTGGAATGGACCAGAAACTGCCCATTCCCCTGCAGCCACTCACCACAGGACTTCTGAACAAGTGCAGGGCCTTGGCATGACGGCACGGGGCTGTTGACTCGAAGGGGTCAAAGGGAAAGAGGACAGGAAGGTCTCTGTGGCCTTACCCTGTGTTCATTGATGAGCAGGTCCCGTGCGGCGTTGAAGATGAGCGTGTGGAGGTGCTTGGAGTAGAACACCAGGGTGTAATCATAATCAAAGCCGTAAATCTCGATGTCCGAGAGGCTCATCTCATTGTTGGAGAAAATGGCATCTGGGTTCAGCAAGTTGTTCATGATGGAAGGAACCAATTCTAGAAGCAAAACAGAATCCGTCATCTCACGGCAGAGGTAAGAGCCGAAGGGCTTCTAAACCAAAGGGGCAGTTTACACACTCATGTGATGTCCAGAACAGGCAGATCCAAGGCCGGGGACACAGCTCATCAGGAAAGCGCTTCAGAGAAGGGGAGAAGGAGCAGGGAAAGGTAGGTCGTGGGCACAGAGGGCAGCTTAGTGGCTGTGTCACATAGGTGAGGAAGCGACTGTTGCTGGGTGCAGGATGTCTTTCCAGTGGTGAAAATATTCTCAATTTGATTGTGATAATGGCCATAGCAGAAGGCCTTTTATGAATATGCCAAAAGCCATGGGTGGGGGTTCTGGGAGTGTTCATTGAGCTCAGAGGTAGCAACATTCACATCTCGATGTAACTGTGACTGAGAAAGAGCATGTGCTTTAATGTCCCAAGAGATTGGCTTTTTTTTTTTAATGTATGCTGGTTGCAGTTGTATAAGTATACATCATGGAATTTAAATACATCTCACTATCAGAGGGGGGGAGAAGGGAGGGAGGGAGAAACAGAGAGAGAGAGAGAAAGAGAGAGAGAGAGAGGGGGGGGGAGGAGAAAGAGAGAGAAAAGAAAACTAGCATTCAATGTATTAGCTACCAGTGTTTTTCCATCTATATCCTATAAGGCTGACCTTGCTGCACACACAAGCCTGTATGGCAGTCTCCATAGTTCATATTCAATCACAAGCTCACAGTATTGCAGACTCTGAGAATATGACCTTATGCTGCTTCATAAAACCTCAATATACGCATTACATGGGTATGCCATAACTGATCCCAACACCTGACTCGTTTAATTTTTTCCCATTAATAATAACACCTTTGTGGTGAGCACGTGACTTTCTTCAGCTGGCTTATCAGAGGTGGGATCACCCCACATACCCTTGGGGTCCACTGGACACAAAAGCAGTTCTGCAGTCTTTCTGTGGAAGGTCTCTCCATCTGAGGGGCTGCTATTACATCTCTTTTACTCTTCCCTGAAGGGATTTTGAAGGTTCTTTCTACATTACAATGTCGAGTTCAAACAGACCCTTACCACAGTCCAAGCTGCGAGGCCGGGGCTGTGGACCAGTGGCAGAGTGTTTGCTCCGCATGCACAAGGCCATTTGGTCCCCAGCACGGAAAAAAATAATCTTAAGATGAAGGAGAGAATGTCAGTGACTTTATTTCTGCATTATGTCGGGATACTTTCCTATTTTTATGCCCCTAGAACATAATTCACCTTTAGCCCTGGATCATTACCACCTAGGATTGTTAACAAGAGTAGATTCAGAAGGCAGGAGAACGGAAGTCGATAGTGCCAAAAGCCATGTCCACACGGAGCTCCACCCTCATGACCTCATTTCCAGACACCACAGAAGTCTGAAGACGGCATCCTGCGGCCATGTCGGTGCCTTTCACAGCGCGTAATGGAGAATGTGATTGCTTTCATTCCCACCCCAAATGACAGGAGACAGAACACATCTCAAGCATCTCAAGGTCATCAGATGTACTTAGACGCTGCTGCGGTGCAGCAGGCAATAGCTCTGTGGTCTGATGGCGCTGGGGAAATCAACCGACCAGTGAGATCTCGGGCTCCGGGGCTCCCTGAGGGATCTTCAGGGGCACTGCGGACCAGACACTGCGCAGTGTGTTATAAGAGACAAAAAGGACATACACTAATCCAGGTAGCCAGTACTAGCAGTTACTGGACAGGGGCCTCCAGAACTAACCTTGGGACAAGCACAAACAGTCCTATACTGCTAAGAGGATATGCGATTGTATTCTTCCACCTTCTACCATCTTATGGATCAGATTCTGCTTGAACCAGCTCACAGGGCACCAAGCGCTGGAGGCAGCGGCTCTCTGGAGCTGAGGGCAAAACCACCACACGATCACACCAAATTCAGCCTGTCTGGATTCCATGACTCAGGACAAGTCTGTCATAACAGCTGTTGACTCACTACATCACACAGGCTGGTTCCAAAGCCCCAGGCTCAAGTGGTCCTCCAGCTGGATCCTCCAAAACAGCTGGGATCATGAGCGCACACCACTGTGCTACAGCCGGCAGCCAGTGCTTGTCGGCATGTCCTGTATGCAACCCCAAAGACTTGCTCCATTTAATCCTTTTAGCTATCCCATGGCATGCATATGCATTATCTCCATTTTACATGGCTATGATGGAGGTACAGAGAACCCATAATTTCCTGAAGGGCACACAACCACCCAACAATAAGACAAGCATTTAACCTGAGAAGTCTGGCTCCAGAATCTGGGTTTTTAACTCCCTGCCCCCAGATCACGGGGATCTGGCTGCAATGGTGACGGTGCATGTTCTTCTAAAATAAACAGGAGGACTGGCCAGGTGGCTCAGCAGATAGGAACCCTTGCCAAAGCCCTGAAGACTTGCGTGTGATCCCTGGAACCCACGTGGCAGAAGGAGAGAACTTACTCCTACGAGTTATCTGACTCTGCAGGGGTGTGTCTGCTCCTACCAGCCCCCCAAAGTCAATATTTTTAAAAAAGAAAACATAACTAAATAAAGTGGAGCCCACCCACTATTCTTTCTATGAACAGCAGCACAGTAGCTACCAGGGGCCACCCAGGTGGTCAAGAGGTGCTCACCTTACCTGGCAATGGCTCCCGTCATGGGACCAGATCCTCCACTAGGGCAGAATCCCAGCTACAGCCCAGGGAGTTAAACCCCTTGGGAAACCCAGCAGAAGTTAGAAACACCTCACAGACCTGCAAACAGTGCCAGATGGTAACCCCCAAGTCTTTACACCCCACGGGTCTCCAGGCCAGTGACTATGAATGCAGATTTTGCTCACGCTGCATTTCACACGTGGTCCCCCACAAACAACACGTTTTCATTAGTGTCCCTCATCAAAAACAACAAGGCAACTGTCTTGGGTTTCAGGGTGACAGAGGTGGCTCTTTCATTCACAAATGTGGCCCCGGTCTGAGGAGAGCAAATAAAGTGGCCTTTGAAGAAAACAGGAGGCGACAGATCACAAGCACTCCCGCCAGGAGGGCAGCGTCCAGGGCCGCTCTGGGCGCTGCTATTTTCTGAGTGTGACAGGCTCATCCAGATGACATAGGTAAAGCAGGTTTGCTTATGAAGGAACCGAAAGCTCCCCTTTCACAAATGACCTTTGAGTGGGAAGCTCCAACAGCCGGCTTTAATCAAGACTTGTATTTATAAAAAGCCCTGGCAAGGAAGCCCATCCGCTTTTCACAACCTGAAATGGTCCCTTAGTGCAGGGGGAAATCCCCACAGGTCAGCTCGGAAGAGAGCTGCCCAAGGCTCCCCAGGGCTGGACACCACACAAGTGCCACCACTCAACACCTGGCTGTGGCATATGCTGTCTTCAACACAGGCACAAGGCAAAGCATCAGAAACCTAAAGGGATCTCAGGTCCTCTTTATGTCACCAAAAACGTGATGTCACGAATACAATGGCCCTCCTAGTCATGGAACTAACTCTGCAAAAGTAGAAACAGAAGCCGGATGATGGTGGTGCATGCCTTTAGTCCCAGCACTCCTGAGGCAGAGGCAGGCGGATCTCTGTGAGTTTGAGGCCAGCCTGGGTGGTCTATAGGGTGAGTTCTAGGGCTGTTACACAGAGAAACTTTGTCTCAAAGAAAGCCTAAACCAAAAAGCAAACTAAATAGTAACAGGAGCTGGTGTGGATTTAGGAAGTGAATTCCCTTTTACATACAAGAGAACAGCAAGATGAACAACCAGTGCTGGGGAGTGGAGAGGCAGCTCTGAAGCCACGAGCCACCATGAGCTGGAAGCTGTGTCCCCCAGCAGACAATGTGGGATATTCAGAGGCCCCAGCACACTAGGTGGCTTCTGGATCTCTATCTGCTAATCATTTCCACAAAGCACTGGGAAACAGCTGATGGCAATACCAACGCTCCGGGAGCTGAGGTAGCCTGAACTACACAGTGGAGGAACCCGATCAAAGAAGAAAGAAGAAAGAAGGAACGAGGAGGAGGGGAAGGAGGAAGAAATTTTTGTTGTTACAGGCATTCTGTTTTGATTTGGGCTTGTGGTTTCTTGCTGTATTATGGTAAAATAGCACTCAAACAAAATTTATATCCTAATTATTAAGTGTGGTTGGGTAGCTTTAAGTACATTCACTCCTGGGTTCCCATCACGACCATCCAGCTCCAGAGCTAAGAAACACTACACTCACTGGGTCACACCCCACCCCCACCTCCAGCACCACCCCACCATGTCACCAAGAGTCTGCCTGGGTCCTCAGCATCTGTCCTTCACATAATGCCCTCGGGTTCACCCAAGGTGTCATACCCATGATCTCCTCCCCTCTCCTTTTCCTTATTGTTACATTTACCCAGCAGCACCTGCGTCGAGGTCAGAGAGTGACTAGTGCGGTTGGTTCCCTTCTTCCGCCAGTGGCCCCCCCGGAATCTACCTCAGGCCACGAGGCTCAGCAGCACAAATGCCATCTCCAGTCCACTGCAGTCCATGGTGCACTGACAAACTTCCATACGGTTTCGCTGTTCTTCTGATTTGCTTTTGTATCTGTTTTTCGAGACAGGGTTTCTCTGTAGCTTTGGGGCCTGTCCTGGAACTAACTCTTGTAGACCAGGCTGGCCTCAGACTCACAGAGATCCGCCTGCCTCTGCCTCCCAAGTGCTAGAATTAGAGACATGCACCACCATGGCCCGGCTTGACTTGCTTTTTGAAGACCCCCTCAGAATAGCATTCCTTGACTAAATTCTATTTTTACTGCTGACAGGAAAAGAAAATGAATGAAGGCAAAATTTAGGAAAGTCCAATATCTTCCCTCTATTCAAGCAACTGTTTTAAACTCCGTAAAGATCTGAGCTGGGGAAGTCAACTTTAGCCAACCTTGCTTGCCCCCCTTTATATGCACAAATGCTAAATGACTCTCCATTAATAAAAGGCGTCCAGTCAGGCAAAGCTATTGCTGTCTCCGAGTAGATGTGGAGTGTGT